CAGACACAACTCCGCTAGCGCCTTCTACGAAGGCTGGCTTTCGTAACCTTCCAACCACCGATTAGTTTTTAATTTAACGAGGAATGAGTCGATGCTTGCCCAAGTCTCCGCCGAGGCAGGGCACAATTGAAGGACCTCTTCTGCGAGCCAAGCTCCCAAGACGCCAGCATCGTGCCCGCGGCCCAGACCGCGCGGAAACTGGTTCAACCTTGGAGGTTTTGTGGGGCGGGTCACCTTGTTTTTCTTCAAGGGTTCATGAGGAGAGAAGTAGACACTAGGAAACCCACACAACCAGACTAACACGTGCACGCGCAAAGCCTAGAAACGAGTTAGCTGGCAGCTTGAAACTGCGGTGCCCAAAGTCAGCTATGCTTGTACCCTTGCCGTGGGCAGAGCAGTATGCTAAGAAATTTGCGTAGGCGTTTTGGAACCGAAGTGGGATTGCACCTCTGCCAAAATGCCCAGCGCGCACCATGATCACAATGCTGGAAGCCAGGAAATCCTTGCCAACACCATCGATGGCAAACGTGTGTGCAGGATCCACCCGGATATACCGGCTAGCATCCCCCAAAGGCAAACTCCGCAAAGGGCTGGGATCTCCACTGTAGAATGGGCTCGGGTTGGTTGTGGAAGCTGGGAACTCTTTCATTTTTTTGAGGTTCCACCACTCCTTGGTGCATGCTATACGGTAATGAAATGGTCCCTCAAAACAACAGCCCTTTTGCAAAATATAGGCTTACAAGTACAAGCTTTAAAGCAAAGCTTGTGCGATGCTCAATCACAAGGTTCTGGTTCACAGCATCTATGGCATTTGTCCGAGCAGTTGAAGCCGCAAGACAAGTTGTACGCTGACCGAAGGAACGGCCAGTCTCCTTTTGTTCCTGTCACAATGAAATGGAAATGGTGGGACTCGCCCTTCCACGTCACCTCGGATATTGCGGTGGCAGATTGCACTGACCCGCCCATGCATACAACGGCCAACATGAACTGGTGGGAGCAAATTGGTGAAGCATTTGGGCCCAAACCAAAAAGGTAGAACTATTGAAATCTCCAGCCAAAAGAACAGTCATGCCATCCTTCCATAGAGAGTTCAGATCGTCAGTCAGGAGTGACAGGAGCTTGTGAAAACTCTTCTTTGTAAATGGCGCAGGCAGCACGGCGTAGAGCAGTCTGGTGCACAGGGAGTTCCTTGCAAGGTGTGCTGCATAGTGTACTCACGGGCCACGAGCGTCACACATAGACATGCAAAAAAACACAAAAAGGCATTCCATTAAGCAAGCAAATCCGAGAAGCCCTTGCATATTGGTTTTCTTGCCGTGCAAAGGGAGCAACGATTGAAGACTTACTACCATCACCGGGTTCTTCAGGCGGCCACGACCCTCATCCCCATGGATAGCCACAGGTATGAGGGAACCCCACTTGCTTTCAGGCATCTCCGTGAACATAGGAAAATCCTTGTCTATAGCTCGGTAGTTTTGCCAGAACGTGCGCAACTCTTGGCGAACTGCTGGCAACTCATCCAACGTACGCCCTCCCAAAAAGAAGTGGCCACCATGTTTGAAGATGCACTCAACCCAACTGGGTATCCGAAGCACTGGGTAATTCACCAGACTTTGTGCAAGGCGTTTTCTGGTGTAACGTATCCACAAGGGTATGGTGCTGACTTTGACATCTAATTTCTTGTGATCTCTTGAAATCACACGGTGCAGCTTTTCACAAGCATGCTTTGACCCCCCTGCTCTGGAAGTTGCACAAGAGGCAAGCCGGCTCAATGCTGGATCAATGATTCCTCGGTCAATAAATGACCATCATCTTAAGAGTATCCAAACCAAAATTGCTTGAATGTTTTACAAAAAGACTATTTACTGCGGCGCTATGTGCGCGTTTCAGTTGTTGACGTGTAAGCCTTTCCGCCAAGATGCCACGTTTTCTCAACTTCATGTTTGCCACTGCAGCCAGTCTGGCCGTTTGCTCGGCGGTTGCAGCCTGGGCAGTAGCTTTTGGTCAGGGATTGAGAGCTTCCAAAGAGCAGACCCCACACTCTCCCGCTTTAAGACATGTTGATGCCGATCCTCTTGCTTGGGAGGACTGTATGTCTTTCGCGCATGAAGCTCAATGTTGGAAACACTCCTTTCCTGACCGAAGATCAGACAAAGAGCTCCACACTCGAAACCGGCTAGAAGCTCGTCGGCAAGGTCGGAATCAGAGCCATCTTCGCCACCACCTCACAGGCAGGATCGGGGACAACGGCCTCGGGGGGTCTTACATACCATGAAATTGGGACACGCACGGTCAAATACACCCCGCCTTCCAAAGAACGCTTGCTTTCATTTCGGGGTACCACGAAGTCGCCTCTTGAGACACCTGCGTGGGCGTTGGCAAAAACAGGTCGACAAATTAGTGTAGCTTTGCAATGTAGTTTTTCTTTTTCCTGATCAAACGTTGAGACGGTCCCCCAGCCCACATGTACATCCACTGGTTTGCAAAGAGTTGCCACAACAATGATGGATCCAAGAAACAAACAATGGTCGAGGGTCCGTTTACATTCACATGGAGGTGACACGTGGCAAGCTCTTTGACATGTAGATGAACAAACCCCTGCTCGAATTTGACTCGAGCGTGGCTATTCCCCACACTCCAAAAAGCATGGCTTGCTTTGCAACGCCTAAGCCTTCTTTTGGCTTTTCACCTTCTTCTTTGGGCCCGCTTTTGCGGACGCCCCCCCACTGCCACTTGCCTTTGAAGACTTAGTTGCCTTCAAGGTCCTGGGTTCAAGGGACAGTTGGGCAGGGGGAGGAAAAATATGGAAAAACATAATTATAAGCAGCTTATCTTTGATTGTATTTGGTTTCTTTCCACTCGAATTGGTCGTCCTTGACCTAACCACCAAGTTGTTCAGGGCTACATCGGTCTTGGTACAATCTGCGCATAGGGACAAAATTTGTTTCTGCATTTCGGGCCTCAGAAGTCGAGGCAATGAGCCTTTGGTTCATGAAGTATGGGTAGATTCATGGGTAAAGAAAACGAAGGTGGGAAGAACCACGCTCGTGACTCAGTATTGTTAAGCTTGTCACTGTGCCGTTCGTGTTACCGCGCATTCACCCTGCAAATGCTCGAGCTTGGCGTAGACATCCTTCATATAGTTAACTTGAATCTGAATTTGCTTGGAAAACCTAAGCGGGGCTCACGCTCAAAAGCCTTTCACTGTGGTCTACTCGCACAAAAAAAGTTCCGATTAGTGTAGGCCACCCGCTCCCTTGCTTGCTGCGTTTTCAGGCCGTCCAACCTCTCCTTCGCCAGTTGAGGGTGTGGGCATATATATCTATATATGCATGAGCGACATATGACATATCAATTCCCAGTCATTCGCAGTCCAGAACAGGGGCAGCACTATCCAGTTTGCGACCACAGACTTCCAAAAATTTTGGTAGTATGGCCACAGCACTGACGTTCTCGGTGATGGTGGGGAAACACATCCTCATGCGTGGGCATGCTCACAGGATGACATGTATGAATAGGGGATGCGCTATTCCTAAACCATGCATGCCTTCACATATGAATGGCCTGAAAGATCCAGAGCTGACCGCAGCCTTGTCCTCAGGACTTTGGCCTCCATCCTCGTCGAAGTGCTTCAAGATGTCGAGGCGGGAGCCGCTTGAGCAGGGAGCATCTCGCAAGTAAGAGCCATCCGGATCCTAATCCCCAGACACCCCCTTTGTTTTACATATTCTTCATGTGGAATTCACAAAGCTGAATGCTGATGTGGCTCTTCAATTGACATGTTCATAGTTTGCACCGTGCGTTCATTCTCACTGCGATCGAAAGAAAAGGCATCTTCGATCACTAGTTTGGCTTCTTCCTCACCATGTACTTCGTTGACTCGAAGCAGTTGGTTTCGTGCCGCAAACTCCCACGCATGCTCCACCATCTTCCTCAAAGAACAGCTAGATGATAATTATGTTTAATCATATTGTTTCGCATAGCGTGAAACCAATAGAAAACAAGAGGACAAAACTGAGGTCGTCTCTTCGTCCAGTTGTGGGTGGTTAACAAGCAGTGCTTGGTAACCCACTGGCCACTCCGCTTCTGTCCCATAGTCGACTGCGACCAACGCTGCAACTGAACCTCGACCAGCGAGAAGTCACAGCCGTTCTGCAGCATGAGTTCTCGCAGCTTTGATCCTGGGCAATGCACATGCTCCAAAATGGGCACAAACATGAGGCTCCTGAATTCTAAAACAGGGTAATTCCATCCTTACCTCATGACCTCAAACAATCATGGCCAAGAAACGACCATCCTTGGTTTTATAAAGTTTTAGAGCTTCGGCTGAACAAGAAGACGCCTTGATCACACATTGCCTTCGCAACCTTAGCCACCAACCCTGTCACATGACTTCCGAGTGATTTCCTTTGGAAGTGATTTGAGGCAAAAAACTTCCAATACAGCGCGTCCTTCTCGTTTGACTTTTGCTGGGACGGTGTTTGGGAGGTCTGGCTGGGCTTTGGGGAAGGACGTTCGGATGGGGCTCCATCCACAGACTTTGCTGGTGTGTACCTTGGGGTCAAAGGTGCATTCAAAAAGGAATTCGGGTCTTGGGCATCATGGCCCATGCTTTTCCTGGAACTCTTGACAGTCTCCGGGGGGGTTGGGATGAGTTGTGGCAACAGACTCATCAACAAATGCTTGGGCCAGATTCCGCTTGACAGAGCCTGATTGGTTTGGCTCTGGCTCACGAGGGCAGGTTCGAGGGGTTGGAGGTACTCCTGCTGGATAATGACCTGTGCTGTGCGCAATGATCGGAGCACCTGCAACAGAACAATCCTGGATTGATGAACAAGCTGCACGCACAGGCTACAGGCCTTCAACGACTGGCACCACACCAACATCTCCCTCATCACCACCGCACTCTCGTAGTTGAGCTCGCAATGTTGCGAGCCTCTCCTCTTGAGCCTTAGCGCCGAATATAGTTTACTCACCCCGCATCCCCTTATCTATATATATTTATAGTTTGTGGGCCCTCACTTCACAAAGAACCAATTTCAATTGCATCAAATTAGACGAGGCTCCTTTATCATGTCGTCAATCCCCAAGTTCCCCTCCGAAGGTCCCTGCGTGTTCCGCCCCAGCATCTCTGATCCATAGACCAGAGTGCTGCAAGATCCGAGTTTAGGGTCGGATCCTGACGACATGTTTTGCAAAGCTAGCTGAGCTTGGAACTGGTACCACCAAAAGGCTGCGGACCCCTGTATACATGTACTTTGAACGTTCCGAATTTGATTTTTGGACGGGTTTGGGAGAAAGTGTACGAACTTTGGGGACGGAGTGGTATACTTTTTGAAGTTGCGGAATGTTGCGCGAATTTGCGCACGGGTTGCGCAAAATTGCGCTCGAGTTGCGCCCCGGTTTTCCCAACACACCCGCTTAGATCAGTCCGAACGGATGAAAGTGTACGAATTTGCTCAAAAGCATTCGAATTTCTTTTGCAACCAAACCGGTCACAAAGATCACTGGTGCGCGGCCACCTTAGATTACAAGGGCCACTTCTAGGCAAGTCTGCCAGGTCTGTAGTGAGGCTGATAGGTGCGAACAAGAATCCAAATCTTTGTGGAATTGGGACATAACTGGCTTCCACTCAGCTGGAATCCTGCGCAGGCTGGCATCTCCACTTCCCAGGCTGGCAGCGGGTCAGCGGAGAAGGAAAGGAGAAGGGCACCACTAGTTTGGAGGTGGCCTGGGATAGCCCCAGAACCCTTACAAAACAGGCTCCCAGGCCACCTTCCTAAAGGGGAAAGAAAAGGGGTGCACGGCTCAGCAAACCTGAAGCTGCAAAACGAAAGCCAGCGCTTCCCCTTTTCGACAACTGCACGTCGAAGCAAGCAGAGAAGAGGCATTGCTGCAAGGCCTAGTATCGCCATGGACAAAAAACCGCTACAACCAAGTTCCTCAATTTGTGGGGCTCGAAACCCCTGCGTTTCGAGCCCCACAAACCCCTTGCCATGCGAGCACCAGGCCGCATGCGTCCACCCAAGTACACTTCGTGTGCTATGAATTTTTACAAGTCTGGAGAAGGAGGGCCGACGGGTACAG